TTCTAATGAAAATTTATTAATTTGACTCATATAATAATAAATTAATGTTCTACTTGTTTATTTTAATAAATTAAGAAAATTAATTATTTTTGCCTGACTTTGTCATTATCATTAAGTAATTCTATAAAATACTAATAGTCAAGTTAAACTCTTAGATAATTGGGATTCTAAAATTAAATTAATTAGTAGAGTATGCACATTTTCTTTATTTTTATCCTAATTGTTATTTTAACAATGATATATTAATAATAAATTTTAAAATATAATTAATAAAATTATTCCGTAATATGTTTTTGGTAAAAAAAACTAAAAATAAGAACCTTGATGACTATTGAAAAAATGTATCATCTTTTTCTAATATATAAATAGTAATACTCTCTGTGTGTATAAAGTGTCGCTTTAAGTATCTAATGGTATAATGTTTCCATGAGTATAATAATTTATTATTTGACAATCAACATTTATTCATGGATCGAGAGCGTATTCAATTTTTAGTATGCAATACTATATATGATTAATAATTACTTAGGATGTGTTTGTTAAGATTAAAAATATTATTTTAGAAATGATTTCTAGGAAAATAAATATGTTTCTTATTTGTTTTCTTGTTTTTGATAGGTTGGCAAAAATTATTATCCTAAAAATATTTTTATATAATTTAGACAAATACTATAAGAGGTGAAGGTAGAGGGTAGGGATGTGTGTGGTGGTGGGGATAAAGATGGGGGGAGCTCGATATTATGGGGTAAAAATGAGGTGTGGTTGAAAACGAAGGAAGACATTATCAATGTAGAATATCATGTGTAACTTTTTTTTTAATACGTCTATTATAGAAATCATTTCCTCATTTTAAAAGGAAAAAAATTATTTTCTAGAGAAAATATATTGCAAAGATTTTAACTGATCAAATATAGAAAAATTAACATTTTACATAACGAACACCACCTTACATCCATCAAATTTATTTTCTCCAATTTCACGTAAAAACAAACTTAACAAAAAAAAATAAGAAAAATTCACCCCACATATCTAATATTACAGCCTTTAGATGTACTTTTTTTATATTACAACTTATAACAGTTTAATTACAAGTATTAATAGATTAGTTTTAATCCATAATTTAATTTATTTGATTTAATTAATTAATTATTATTTTTATAATTACCTTACAATTAATAAGTAAGAGAAATAAGATAATCAATTGTCATTATCTCTTACACCATTTTTGGGATAACATTAATAGAGAATCAATTGACATTATCTCTTACACCATTTTAAAGATTTTTTTCCCAGTTTTCACGCCCCCACCCCCACGTTCCTCTTTTACATAGACCTATTTTTCTCTCTCTCACCGTCTTCAACGTTCGTCTTCTTCATTAAAAGAGAAAATCAGCAGAACTCACGATTGAGCCCCATGGATGTGGAAGGAAAAAAGTAAGATAACATACTTTCCTTTCTGTATGAATTTTTTGTTATGTTTGATAATTGGAAGAAGCGAATGCTTACTTGTGCCCCACTAGAAGTGGATCTGTATTTGTTTTAAAATTAGCACATGTTTTAAAAATTATATGTGCAGAAAAGAATGTCAGATATGAAAAATTTCTTTCTATTCTTTTGTTCTCTCTATCAACTCTTTTGTTGTAGGTAGCAGGCAGCTCGAGAAGAGGCGTTGGTCAAGATTTCTGCTCTTGAACTAGAGATAAGTGCTGCAATGCCAACAAATAATGAAATTTCGGTAAAAGATGCTTCTTCTCAGTCGAAGATTAGTCAAGCAAAGAAAACAGTTAGTCATGCAAATCAAAAGGAAAAAAAGAGGAAGGTGAAAATTGTAGAAGCGACTCATTCTATTTCGGATTCGGATTCGGATTCAGATTTCGTAAGCGAGATTAAAAAGAAAAAAATAAAAAAGCAACAAATGTCGAAATTGTCAGTCTTCAAACCAATCAACAAGAAGAATAACAAGGAAGGAGGACTCAGAAATCCCAATTTCAAAAAAAGGCAAAAAAGTGGTTAGGATAAGTATTTTATTTAATTTATTTTTGAATTATTCAATTGAGTATTTTTTGTGTTAAAAATATTGTATTAGGATTATTGTTGTTACGAAACTTATATTGATGTGAAAACTGTACAAAATTTGAATAATATTTGTATGATATGACATTAATATATGATATATGAATATTGTATGAAATGTGATGGAATGTTGGTATTCAACTGGTATGATGTGTTATTTGATATTGGTTTGATATCAGTAGCCCAATTAGTTGATTTTAGTGTCGTTTGTTAAATGCCACAGTGCACATGAAATCTGGTATGATGTTTGAATAATATTGGTGTGAATTTTTTTTCAAATATGGTATATTGTTTTATTAAAATTTATGTACATGAATATGGAATGAAACATGAATAATATTGGTCTGAACTGAATTTTATATATAGTGTATGAATGTTGATATGAAATTGATTTAATTTTTGTATAAATTATGTGAAATAATTAATTTATAACTACTTATAAAATGAAGTTGGTATCGGAATGAAACATGAATATTGTTGGTAGGCTGGCAAATTCATTTGAGATCTCAATTACATGTTTTTTTCAATTTTTCCAATGGCATATCAGTTCGATACTAAGTGTACACCAATTGGGTACAAATTAACTAGTTTTAGGTTGTCTGATTTAGTTGAAATCTCAATTACATGTTTTATTTAATGTTTCCAATGGGATATCAATTCGATACCAAGTGTACATTAATTGGGTACAAATTAACTAGTTTTAGGTTGACTAATTTAGTTGAAATATCAATTACATGTTTTATTCAATTTTTCCAATTGGATATAAATTAGATACCAAATGTATACCAATTGGGTATAAAATTAACTAGTTTTAGATTGTCTAATTCGGTTGAAATCTCAATTACATGCCCTTTTTTCAATTTTTTCAATGTGATATCAATTCGATACCAAATGTATACAAATTAGATGCAACATTAACTAGTTTTAGGTTGGCTATTTCAGTTGAAATCTCAATTACAAGTTTTTTTTTTCAATTCTATCGCTGGGACATCAGTTGGATACCAAATGTATACCAATTTCATACTAAGATTTGAATTTTCAGTTGATATCAATTGCATACCATCATTATCTAGTTTTTTTTACTATACATTTGAAAAACACTTAATACACAAATGATTAACTAGTACACATAATAAATGTTCTGAATTATAATTCATTAACTTAAAAGATAAAATAAATCAAAACATGAGTTTGTCACTTTAAAACAACCAAAACAAAATAAAAATAAACATGTCTTCTTTTTCCAGCAAGGTAATTTGAACATGTCTTCTTGTTGTGTCCCTCCCAATGACATGTACTACACGTAACCTTAGACCTCTTGCATTTCACATAAGCAAATCCTTTCCAACGTTCATGTTGTGGTCTCCCTACAATTCTTTTTGAACCAGACGACAATAATTTATGCTCCGACACTTTTTGAATTGCATATTTTCCTGTTTCATCATAAATTATTGTGTTAGTATTACAGGATACAAAAGTACAAAAAGCTTTACAAAACTATATATAATATGATACTACGCATTGAAACAATATTTTTTTGTATCAATTTATGCTCCGACACTTTTTGAATTGCATATTTTCCTGTTCCATCATAAATTGATTATAATAACAACAAAATTATACACACTCGTCATTATTTTTTCATACAAATATCATTCAAACAGTACACTACAAAATAAATTTCATACAAAAAATAATATTTCACATTTTATACTCACTTAATACACATTTCATACAACAATCATCATTCATACCAATTTTATACATTTCTCATACCAAATAATTCATTACTCTCACACAAATTTATACACAAATGACAAAACATATATAATCAATAAAATTTCAAATTTCATACCAAATTAAAACACTTTTCATACATTTCTTCAAAAATCTAAATAACTTTTTTACACATTAGTGAACACACTTTCATACCAATTTCATTACATTTATACTACCAAATTTATTCAACATTTTACATTTAATTTATATTTTCGAAAAAAGAAAACAGTAATCAATAGTACAATTTTACTATACCTACTTAATCTACAACGATAAAACTATTTATATTTTATACATTTATACTCAAATCTTTCATATATTGCGCCTATTTCTCACGAAATCATGATTTTGACAGTATACAAATTAATCAAACAAAAAAAAAGAAACTTACCAAAACGTATTATGAACAAAATTAACAAAAACGTATTATGAACAAATATTAACAAAAACAATTTTGACCAATCACTAAACAATAATAAATACTAACCTGAAGGACCCCATCTTCCACCATGTTTAATTAATATTGATACGTAGTTGTCCATCTCAACAAAATCAAGATTTTTCAAAGAAAAAAAAAACTTCAATTACTCGACAGTGAGAAGATTTTTGGCAGAAAATTGAAGAGAGAGAAACGTTGAACAAAAAAAAAGGATAAAATCAGAATTTTTAATTAAGTTTAACTAATTTGAGTGAATTAAGGAAACTAAATATTCTTAATAAGTTTGAATTTCTTAATTCGTGCTAATTAGTAATTATCTACACTCAATCAAATTAAATTAACACCCCTATTTCTGTTTTTTTTACCTTTTTGCCTTCAAAAATGTTTTTTTTTTGTTTTTTTTATCTTCTTTTTTTAAAAAAAAACAAATGTTTTGAATTATTAAAAACAATTTTTTTTTTAATAAATTGTTAGAACCTGAAATTTTTAATGTTACAATTTGAAAATTTAAATCTACTGCTATAATTTGAAAATATTAATATAATATATGTCATATATGAAATTTTCACAAAAAATAATACTTAATAATATTGGGTCCGTGTTGACATGGCGATTGCTTTCTAGTTTTACTAATCAAGATCACTTGAATACTACTACCACTACAACTTGTATAATCATTACTCTGCTTGAATTATGAAAAGGTGCCTACTTTATTTGTGATTCTTCCTAATCTAAAAATATCACCTCTCATCAATCAATAAGCAGATATTTGACTGTTCTGGATGCTCCACAAATGGGGCAAAAACATTTTCTCTTCAACCCTTTGCAACACAGATTGGAACAAAATTAGAAAAAAAATAAAAAAAAATTAAAAAGATGGCAATTATTGAGGAGGAGGAAGAAGAGAGGTTGTTAGATCATTTGCCAAAAACTTACACAAAGGGTGGTCTCAAAACCATGCCATTCATCATAGGTTAGACAAAATCTTTATGGGGTTTCTTCCATTATATTTAATTTTTTTGTTTTGTTTTGTCAAGAATCATTTTTTGTGTGTGTTTTTACTAACTTTTGCAGTGAATGAAACATTGGAGAAAGTGGCAAGTTATGGGTTGCAGCCAAATATGGTGATATATTTGATGAAAGTTTATAATTTAGAAATTGTAACAGCTACAAGTTTACTGAGTATGTGGTCTGCTCTTTCCCATGGATTGGCCCTTTTGGGTGCCTTTGTTTCTGATTCTTTCTTGGGTCGCTTCACTGTTGTTGCTATTGGATCTATCTCCAGCCTTTTTGTATGTCCCAATAACTCTGCTCTTTAACTTTTATTTTTGTCATTTCAGCTTAGCAGCAATTAATTAATGGAAATAGCTTAATTGTTGATAAATATGTCTTTTTGGTGGCAATTACTAGGGACAATTACTTTTTAGCACTCTTTGTGAATATCGTTAAAGCATGTAGTGACATTGAATCTAATGACAATTAACTGAGTCTGATAAAGACTTAAGCAGACTTTGTTAATATACATGCTAAAAGTTGTTTTTATTGTAGTGATTGTTTCCTTTATCGGTGTGTATGGTTAGCACTTAGCATGAAGGGAAATGTTTTCTTGAAAATAAGTCATTTTCTGGTGTTTGGTTTCAGCTCAAGGCCTCAAAGTATTTCCTTATGAAGTCTGCCCTTACCCTAAATTCAGTAAGGATGTGCTAAATGACATGACTAATTTGAGAGAATTGAAGCTGTTTAATTTAATTTGTATTGGCATAATGCGTAAATGATTTTTTTAACTTAGTCTTAGCTAACATCTATATCCTCCAATTTTTAGTGTGCATAAGTAGACGTTTAAACTTGTATTAAGTTGAACAAGTAAATCTGTTGGACATCTTAGCAGTGGATTTGATAACCCACATCTGATCGAAGTTCCATTTATTGCTCTGCTGGAGACATACATCCTATGTGACAATTCAAGTGAAATACACTCGAATTACTTTGTATATGTAATGTAGGACAGTTGTGTCTATCTGTTCAACTTTATACTAATTTAAGTGTCTACTTATGCACATCCAAAGTTGGAGAGCATAAATGTCGATTGATGCCAAGTTAAATGACAAATTTATGTATTATGCCATTTCTATTACTCCACAATAATTGTGTTAGTCACAATTGGAAGCCTTTTATGTCTAAAACAAGTACTTAGTTGAAGTTGGTTCATGGGAGAACAATCAAGAACCTAATTCACCAGTGGATATGTTTCTGGACAAACAACATTTCTTAGTGATGTAGAATTCAACTTAGCTGAAACAAATTTTCGTCTTTTTTTCCATAGGGAATGACTATTCTTTGGTTAACCACCATGGTTCCACAGCTGAGGCCTTCACGTTGTGATCATTTCGAGATCAATGAATGTGATAGACCAACACCAGCACAACTCCTTGTATTATTGTTTTCTTTTGGGACAATTGCTCTAGGAGCTGGTTTCGTTAGACCTTGTTCTATAGCGTTTGGTGCTGATCAATTGGACAACAAAGAAAATCCAAATAATAAAAGGATTATGGAAAGTTATTTCAACTGGTACTATGCTACTATTGGAATGTCAACACTTGTTGCGACAACCTTAATTGTGTATATTCAAGATGCTTTTGGTTGGCGAATTGGTTTCGGAATTCCTGCTATCCTTATGTTTTTCTCTGTTTCAGCCTTCCTTTTGGGTTCTTCTATGTATATCAAAGTTAGTGCTAGCGAAAGCTTGTTCACTGGATTCTTTCAAGTACTTGTTGCTTCTGTTAGAAAAAGAAATATCGATCTTCACTCTGTTAACTGTGAAGACTATTATCATCAATCTTCCGATTCTGAAATTCAAGCCTTAACAAGCAGCTTTAGGTATGATTCGTTCGGAGGGTATCCTATGTTTGATTTAGTAACATCAAGATTATATGTTACTATTAGCTGTTCTAGCTAAAGATGTACCTTTTTTTTACTGATCTTCATGTAGGTGTTTAAATAAAGCTTGCATGATTGAAGATCCTGAAAGAGATATAAATCCTGATGGATTCGCTTCAAATCCGTGGAGACTCTGTAGTGTAGAACAAGTAGTATCTTTGAAGTCTCTTCTTAGAGTTGTTCCCATGTGGTCTAGCAATATAATGGTTCAGCTGAGCTTAAACCAATTTTCGTTTGCCACACTCCAAACAAAGACAATGGATAGACATATCTTCTCGGATATTGAAATACCAGCCGGATCTTTTTCTGTCTTTATGGTTATCACTCTAGTGATGTGGATTGCCTTTTATGATCGTGTTCTCGTGCCAATAAAGGCCAGATATACAGGACAGCCAGGAGGCTTAAGCCCCGTTCTTCGCATGGGAATTGGTTTAGTTCTCTCTGCTGCAGCGATGGTACTTTCAGCGATAACAGAAGGCATAAGGCGGGGCATAGCAATTGATCAGAAAGATCCACAAGACGGTCCAAATATAAACATGTCGGCAATGTGGTTCGTGCCACAGTACGTGCTTCTTGGACTAGCTGACGCTTTCAATGCAATCGGATTGGTAGAGTTCCTTTACTCTGAACTTCCAAAAAGCATGTCTAGTTTTGTTGTGGCTATTTTCACACTTGGAATGTCTGTATCTGGCTTTTTTGGGAGTGTTTTAGTGAATGTTGTGGATATTGTTACTTCATATGGAGGTGGAGTTAGCTGGTTGTCAAGTAATATTAACAATGGTCATTTAGATTATTACTACTGGTTACTTGCTTTCCTCAATGTTGTGAACTTCCTATATTTTCTTCTCATAATTTGTCGATATAATCGCCATGAGAAGGAAGTTAAAGAAAAACAATGTGAATACAGTACTCAGAGAGCTTGATGTATATATATGTATCTGATACTATTTGTTATTGTATTATAACCAATGTATATGTATGATAAGGTGACTCTTTTAGTGTTGCTGTAAAATATTGTTCTCTACAGAAATGATTTTGTCAATTTAAATCGTATGTATTATCATAGAGAAGATTGTCAAATAAATGAAAATGTTGCATGCACATCATGTGCACATGGAGGGGATGAACTTGAATCTCCTTAAAGACAGCGAGGTATTTGTGTCTGCCTAAAGATTTATTTATTCATTTGAGATAAGTGTCAAAAACATATCTAAACTAATTCATTTTTTGAGTTTCATACCTAAACTATTCAGAGTGTGAATTTCATACTTAAATTATCACTTATTAGTTTGAGAAACACACCTCTTTCGTTTATACCAATCATAAACTCTCTTTTATTTAAAAAAAATTGTTACATCACACTCTACATGGACAAAACATTCCACATTGACAAAAATTAAATAAATAATTACTATTAGTTAAAATTAAAGATCAAAAAATTATTATCGAAAAAAGAATACTAGTATATTTTTATAAAATAAAATGTAAAATATTTTTCTTACCCCACTCCATCACTTCCTCTAACCGTCCCCCCTCCCCCGTGTCCATTCTTTTAATTTAAATTTCTTTTATAAAAGTATTTAATTTTTTTAACTTCACCCCCTCCCCCATACTAATTTAGATAATATTTTATTTTATTTTTAGAATATAATTCTACTCCACCTAACCCTCCGCTTCCAAAAAATTTCTCGTTTTGTGTTAGATATACATATTTGAAAAAAATTTTTACTTGCCGTCACAAGACTTTTTTAAAAATAAAATTTTTATTAACGTTATATTCGGTACACAAGTAGAAAAAAATTTCTAAAAAATATATGTATATATCTAACACAAAACGAGAAAAATGTAAAAAAAATAAAATTAAATAAGGAACAGAGGTTAAATTTAGGATGGGGTAGAACTTTTATTTTTTTAAAATAAAAGAATATCGAAATTTTTTTCGGGGGGGAGGTAAAGTATGGTTTTAAAAAAATATTTTATAAAATAAATTTTAAAAAAATAGAAGGACGGGGAATTGTTGGGGGTGGGGGAGTACGGGGAGGATGTAGTGGAATTGGGTAAGAAAAATAATTAAAATTTAATTTTTAAAAAAAAATATTTTTTGGGATAGTAATACGTTAATCTTTAATTTTTGATGGGGAAAAAGACAAATATATCCTTAAACTATCGTAAATGGTATGCAGATACCCTCCGTCATATTTTTGGGACATTGGTGCCTCTGTCGTCCAAAAATTAGAGCATATATGCCCTTCACTCTCACGGAAGACTAAATAAGGACATGTGGCGCAATCTTATCCATCGATCCGATATTTAATAAATATCGGGTCGGTGGATAAGATTATGACACGTGTATGCCCGTTAGTGTAAATGGTATATATGCTCTACTTTTTGAACGGCAGGGGCACCAATGTCCCAAAAGTATGACCGAGGGTATCTGCATACCATTTACGATAGTTTGGGGATATATTTGTCCTTTTTCCCATTTTTAATTAATATTAATAGTGTATTATTTAATTTTCGTCAAGGTGAAATATTTTATCCATGTGGAATGTCATGTGTCAAGGTTTTTTCAAATAAAGGAGAGTGCATTTCACACACCACTGAGGTGAGTTTCTCAAACTAATAAGTGATAGTTTAGGTATGAAACTAAAAAAGAAGAAGATAGTTTAGGTGTGTTTTTGACATTTATCTCTATTCATTTTTGTTCATTTTATGTCAACTGTAATTTATAGTATTTATGATATATTACACCAATATATTAAAATGTGTTCGACTTTGAATACTTGAATCTTAAGATATTATCTCTAAATCGTGCATCGAACAATTAAGGATGATAATTTTCTCAATTCTTTAACATGCATAATTTAGCTCTGCTCAAAATTAAAAAATATAAAGTATAAAGTTGAGTTAAATGATACTCCGTATTTATACACACAATAATACAAAAAATCTTAGTTTGTACGTTATAAAAAATATTTAACTTGACAAAGGTACACTCTAAAATATATAACTGAGAAAATAATTGTTAGATGTTATCATCAGGTGGTGAGATTGATAGTGATAACATATAATTTGTAGACACAACTACTAATATAATACCACATGACAACAAGAAGTCATTTTCATAACAATATTTAAATGAATACATTGTAACAACTTTAAAATTGTTTATAAGATTTGAATGATCAATAATTCAAATCAGAGTTGGTACAATAATTGGTCATGTTTCACGTGTTAGACTTAGGTGTCCTATAGCCGAGTTAGAATTCGAGTACAGATTCAACTGAATTTAATAATTTTTGCTCATATAATATATTTGTATTGAAAAGTATATTAAATATGTAAGTATCAATTAATAACATTTGAAATCGTCGTTATAAAATTCAGAATCAATAATGATTAAAATTATAGCTTCATCTGTCTCTATTTGCCACTATCTATTTTTTAGTTGCAGTAAATTATTTATTATTATTACCTATTCTCATACTTTTTAACCGACGCATCTCTTAGTTTCTTTTACTCAAACATGTTTTTCTTAATATTAATGATAAAAGTATATATAATAATCTATATATTCACACTTCTTCATATTGATTTATTTTTGAAAATTTCATTAGATAAGTCATTTTTTTAAAATGTGGATTAATATGAAGAAATTAATACAAAAGGATAAAGTTATCAAATTAAATTAATTTATATTTATTTTAAATAAATTTATAGAATGATTACAAAAAAATAAAAATAAGAAAAGCATACGTAATATTGTAAATCACAGGAGAGATGAGTGTTGTAAAATTATCCCTTAAAAAATTTAACCACAACATGAAACGCAGACAAATTTTCTAGTTAATTGATGTGCTTGGATAATTGTAACAATTATTTGAGAGGGCCACATTTACGTAGGGGTGTCATAGTTTTAGAAAAATCAACTTAACGGATCAATTATTATTTTTTAAAAGTTAAAATATATGTTTTATATAAACTTATAGCCATAATACCGAATAATTAGGTAAGTTTTTAGTTTTATAAAAAAAAATATAAAAAAATATTGAATCATACTAAATAAATTAATATGCATAAAATATTGAGATTAAAAATAATAAAATATTAAACTTTTGTCTTAGGCCTAATTATGAAAACGACTACAAACCAATTGTAATTAACATCTAAACTCTAAAGTTTCAAAATTGTCTATCTCGAGAAAAAAATAGTGACAATTCGACACAATTATTAATAAAAGTGTGTAAAATAAAATATCTGATAGGAAAAGACAAAAAATGAGAGGTCCGCAGAATGCAAATACTATCACGATTCGTGATAGAGAATCATCCATTCATCAACGATTATTTAGAATAGTCAAAAAAATTCTTTGCAGAGAGCATTATTATCGAATGAGATTTTATTCGATATAAATTTAAATTAATTGAATTTAATATAAATATTGGACATTAGTGAAAAATAAAAAAATATGACTATTTGAATAAATTACTTACTATGTAGAAAGAGTTTACAAAAAAGAGTATCGTTATTCGTCAACAATAGTTTTTGTTCTTTTTTAACCGTATGAGTGGCGGAGAATTTGACATGAACCCCTATCTTATTTGTTAAAATTCAAAAACGTAAAAAAAATACACAAATAAGAGGGAACCATAAAAATTATCCTCCTCAAAATACAAAAGGAAATTGGAATTGTCCTATTCACAAAAGTTAATTCTGAAAAACTATATACCAAAGACTTTTTTTTAGGAATTAAAAACAAACGCAAAGAGGAAATTAACTTTCTCACAGACAAAGATTAGAGTTAAAATTTTACTACCGAAAAAAAGAGTTAAAACTCCTCCTATCCTATTTTATATGACTAGTTTAACTTGTCACGAAGTTTAACAAAAAAACTTTTAATTTTTGTGGCGTAAATAAGTAATAAATGCTTGTGTGATTATAAATTATTTCATTAAAGATAAAATATATATTTTAAAGTTAAATTATTACTTAAAATAAGAATATGTCATTTTTTTTAGACTGACTAAAAAGATAAGTAAATCATATAAATTGAGACGGAGAGTATAATATATTTCATACCTAAGGGTAGAGCTGTCAAAAAGGGCCGGCCCAGCCCCATCGAGCCCAAGCCTCGAGGGCCAAGGAATTTGAAGGGCTAGGGCGGGCCGGCCCTTCATTTAGTAGGGCTTGAAAATGCGCAACCCAACCCAACCCTAAAAGGGCCGAGGGTTGGGGCGGGCTAGCCCTTCTGTTTTTCTTTTCTTTTCAAACTTATAATTCTATAACATCAAAAAAATGAGAAGATTTTCAAATCAAATATGACAAACAATGATGTTGTTTCAATAACACTAACAAAAATCTAGTGTAATTAGCATGTATCTCGCATACTGGATATGCGAGTGAGACAAGAGAGTGACAAGCAAGATAGGAGAGAGGCGATGGCGCAAGATTTGTATATGTATCCTAGATACATGCGAATCTACTTGGATAGAGTGTACCTAGAACAAATTAACCCAATTTTGAGTCCATATATTTCGAGATACTATCTGGGTACGAAGATTTATAATATTACAACATAACGTGTATTCAAATAATTAGATTATATACTAGTAAGATTATTGTAAATTACTTTTAAATAAAAAGTTTTGGCCCATGGGCTGACCCCAACCCAGCCCCAATCAAGGCTCAAAGGCCAAGGACTTATATGGGCCGGGCTTATAAGCCCTAGTTTTAAATGGGCTTGAAAAATCCTATCTCAACCCTTACCAAATAACGAGTAGGGTTGGGCCGGCCCCATGGGCTAAGCCTATTTTGACGGCTCTACCTAAGGGTATATAATATAGGAAAAAAAGACAAATATACCCCTGAACTATCGTAAAGATATGCAAATATCATCCATCATACTTTTGGCACATTGGTTCTCCTGCAATCCAAAAACTAGAGCATATATACCCTTTATACTAACGGACATACACGTGTCATAATCTTATCCACCGACCCGATATTTATTAA